AATTATAACGATGGACTATTAGAGTTTCAGCCTTTTAGATTATATTCTTAATCTGTCTTATACATTGCGTTCTACCGGGATTCTGTCCTCTTGTATGTATATATATATATATATATATATATATATATATATATATATATATATATATATATATATATATACCACTAATATTATATATTATATGTATATGTGTGTGTATGTGTGTGTACTTTTAAAATTTCCTGATCTGATTCAGTTCTGACCATTATCCTTTCTCCACCCGTTTGCTCCCATATTCGTGTTTGGTGACTTTAACGCCCATCATACCAAGTGGCTCGAGAATGCTACTACTGACCGGGCTGGCATTCAAACACTTAAGTTCTCAATTTCTCAACCCCTCACGCAGATAGTTGACTTCCCTACGCGTTTTGCCCTCAACCTGGCAGGTAAGGCCTCTCTTCTCGATCTGTGTTTTACCTCCATCCCCGAATCTTGGAGCGCCACACAGCTCTGCCCTCTTGGTAACTCCGATCATGCCGTGGTATCTTTCAACATTTCCTTCAACTCCACAACCTGCAAAGAACCTCCCATCACTAGAACCTCGTTCTACTATCAACGAGCGGATTGGGACTCGTTCCGTGACTTCCTCCGCGATGTCCCCTGGGATGTTGTCTTTACACTCCCTATCTAAGAATGTGGTTCTGAGGTCTCATCCTGGGTTAAAGCTGGAATCAACGCTTTCATCCCCTCAAGGAAATTTAAGGTCAAGTCGCACTCCTCCTCCCCATAGCCCATTGGAACCACTTCTATTGAGCGGCTTACACATAACCCCGTCATAGGTACTGGGCAGTATCTCCAACTTAGACCCCCACAAGGCTAGTGGTGGAGACGGCATACCAGCCATTGTCTTGAAGAAATGCGCGCCTGAGCTAGCGCCCGCCCTCTCTAAACTGTATAATTACTGCCTCAAGGATTCCTGTTTTCCTGACTGCTGGAAGTCCTCATCCATTGTTCCTGTCTTTAAGAACTCTGGAGACCCCTCTGACCCCTCTAATTACCGTCCTATTTGTCTCCTACCCCTCTTCGGCAAAGTCTTCAAAGCCCTAATCAATGCCGAAGTGGTTAACCACTTTGCATCCCATAATCTGCTCTCAGACAAGCAACATGGTTTTCGCTACGCCCGATCTACAGCGGATGTGCTTACGGCCATCACTGAAACCGTATACCAAGCCCTTCAAAATAATGGTGAGGCTCGTGCCGTGGCCCTAGAGATCTCCAAAGCGCTTGATAGGGTTTGGCATGCCGGCCTTCTTCGTAAGCTCCGAGAATTGAAAATCGTTCTCAACGGATTCTCCTCCAGTTCCTATCCCACGAACGCAGGTGTTCCCCAAGGCTCCATCCTTGGCCCCACTCTTTTCCTTATTTTCATCAATGACCTTCCTGACGCCATAGATTCCCAAGTTGGCATCTACGCGGACGACACTACAATTTACTTCTGCCTCAAAAACAAATCTAGTGTCGGCGACAAAACTTACCTGGCCGTGCGTCTTGAAATGGACCTCCAATCGGTTGTTAACTGGGGCAAGAATTGGCTGGTCAACTTTAACGCCTGAAAAACTAAATTACTCTCCATTAACCACCATAGAGATCCTTCCCTGCCTCCCATTAAAATATCTGATAGTCAACTTCCTGAGAGCAACTCCCTGCGTCTGCTCGGTCTCACGCTGACTGCTGACCTGAGATGTAACAAATACATTGAGTCAATTGCTTCTTCGACCGCGAGGAAAGTTGGCTCTCTGTGCCGCGCCAGGAATTTTTTCTCCCCTGAATCGATACTTCAAATATACAAAACAACCATTCGCCCTTGCATGGAGTATTGCTGCCATATATGGTCTGGGGCACCTTCTGCTTACCTCGGAGTTCTTGACAAGATCCAGAGACGGATATGTAATCTAATTGGCCCTGATCTGGCGTCTCGTCTGCAGTCAATCTCTAACAGACGCGCCGTCGCCTCTCTCTGTCTTTTCTACAAATACTTTCATGGTAATTGCTCCGATGAGCTGCTTTCACTGGTTCCCAGACTCCATGAATTCAAGCGCCCTACGAGGCTGGCATCGCGCTGCCACCCTTACACTATATACATTTTTAAATGTAGCCGTCTCTTCTACTCCAATAGCTTCATACCTCGCACCTCTCGCCTGTGGAACATCCTTCCCAATTACTGTTTCCCTGAAAGCTATAATCTCCAACTATTCAAATGTAATGTCAATCGAGACCTCCAGTTACCTTGATCTACCCACTATCCTTCTCCTCATCCTTTCTTCTATCACTCCTATCCGCTCTCGCTCCAAATCTTCCGCAACCCCCTGCATCCTAGTGGCTTCACGCTTTGCTCGAGGCGTAATGCTTAAATATATATATATATATATATATATATATATATATATATATATATATATATATGAACACACAGACATCATACCGAAAGAAAATGCAACAGATAAAGAAACATCATACGCTTTAACCCCCTGAATAATAAAAACGTAAAAAAAAAAGCTTAGAAAACTTCCTGTAGTTTGGTTCGTATTATTGCCTTAAAAAAGACAAACAGCGAAGATCATTAATATCTAATAAATCAATATTTTTCGTTATCCAATTTGTAATTATCTCCTTATTAATTTTTTCTTTCTTTATTTATTTATAGTAAGATTCACCCTGTATAAGTCCCGTGACCCACTTGATGTAGAAGATAACATTAAGAGTTAATTCATACGGACAGTGGGGAAAATCCTTGATTTGAACAGTTTAAGATCGGACTGACGGGGAAATATCCTCTTGGGTGTCGGTTCCACAGATCAGGGGTTCGTGGGAAAAAGATGCTCGAGTAGAACTTACACAGTAGGAATGTGGATGGGGTTTGCTATAATGTAATTCGTATGGTTGGCTGTAGCCGTAAAGCTTGGACCTGGCCGAACCAACGAATGTAGTTCTACTGAGCACTTTGCATGGAAGGAGGAGGGAGAGACTTGCCACATCCCACCTCTGAGTGGTTGGTTGGAGGGTGGAAAATAATTTGACCCACACCAGCAGTCAGAGACACTTTTGAACTCTATTGAGACTGGAAAGTGATGACTCAGCAATTCCCGCCCAAATATAACAACTGTATTCCATTTTAGACCTGAGCTAGCTTTTTTTAAATGTAAAGGATAGCATGAAGAGTGATAGACGGAACCATTTTTCCTGCATTTTAAAGATTGATCATATATACAAGTTCAACATTAGTCTCTCAGGGCATAGAGCCTGTCCGAGATTACATCTATTCATCGTAACAGGCGATAGTCTGGAATCTGATGGGCGATGATGGAATCTCATTAGTTTTTTTTTTTTTTGTTTTCGTGGCATTGAATATAACCAGCCAGCCCCCCCCCACTGAGAAGTTAGTTTTATATCAGATGAAAGATCAGCTGCTAACGTTAACGGAAGCTGTAGGATGTAAGTTAACCTGAGAAATTAAACACTCAAATAATCAATTTTTTTTTTACCACATTCATATTTGAAATAACAGATACAAACTGAAGTTTATGAATTTTAAGATATTTACTTTACAAAGTTTGGATCAACTCAATGTACTTTCATACGAGAAGGCTTTGTGCTTCAGCTGTGCTTAATTTTTTTTCAAAATGAGAATAAAAAAATTATCATTTTAAAAAGAATTAAAAGAATTTAAGATAAAAAAAATATTCCTAAATTTTTCAAAATAAAATTCACACCATTACCTAATAAATTATTTTTAAATGACATACCCCTTCAAGACATTCAGGCTCCCCACAGGCTGATTTATCTATTAATTCCTATGATTTCTTTGGAAAGTTAGTGCAGTGTGTTCCCGTTAACTTATTCAAGTATTGGTTATTTTTCTATTTCTCTGATGTTTTCTTGCTTTTAACCATATCAATACAAGACGTGGACGATCCTACAACTTTCTATGTTCCATCTGTGAAGAGATTTCCCAGTATTCAGTGGTATTTAGGAGGACTGATATTACAGTTCAACACTCTTTTCCTTGTTTCTAGCGAAATCTTCCCGTTCCCTAATACTTTGTTCAGCCTTTAGAAAGCATCTTTTCGCTATTGCAATGCAAGTCCTGATTGCAGTTTCAAACTTTCCATCGTCTTTTATAACAAATCCCAGAAAGCTAAAATACTGAACTTTGATGCCTCCAGTTCGTCGTTCACATCTTCGACTATTCGCCTTGATAATGACTATAATTTCTCTCTTAAAATCGATGATTAATCCCGCTTTTCATTAATGCTTTTTCTAATGCGTTCCTGCAGCTTTTTCTCTCACCAATAATAAATCATGATAGAATTTCTAGTTCTCCTAAGATCGTCTCGATATAAATGTTAAATGAATCTGACCATATAGGGAGGAAAAAGGGAGATCCTCGCTCTGTGTCGGATGTAAAATCATATCTACCTGTTCATGATATATGCCTGCCGTTGTTAAACGGAACAGTTCTCAGTTATCTTACTAATATAAACTTTAAAAGTTGAAGACAGACTAGTTACAAATGTACACGAATGACTATATAACCTAGTCTATATGTCAACACAGCGCCATCTATCGTAAAATTTCTTTAAACTTAATAACTCAAAAACGAAGGATTTGCTGACATATGTTTATTTGGAAACCCACCCGCAAAGTTTGTAAAACTATTTTTGATATGCACTGTATATATATATATGGTTCCACCTAAATATATAAACTTTGGACTTAGGGTCATTGTGGCTCAAAGGTATTTATGAGTTTTACACGATGCAAAATATTTATTAACATGTTCTTTATTATACCCCATACCTAGATAACCCTAAGAGGAATGGAAGTCTTAATATCGTCTTCTTGCAACTTGATACATTTCATTGGAATCCTCACAAAAATTTATTTTCTCTAAGATGAAAAATCTTCCCTTATTATGATTCCTTTATTTTTGAAAAACTAAAAGCATGAACATGAATGCATATCTAATAAATCATAAACGTGATAGATAGATAGATAGATAGATAGATAGATAGATAGATAGATAGATAGATAGATAGATAGATATGAACAGAGCGGAATATATATATATATATATATATATATATAGATAGATAGATAGATAGATAGATAGATAGATGAACAGAGCAGAACAGATAGATAGATAGATAGATAGATAGATAGATAGATAGATAGATAGGTATGTATTCAGTCAGGCAACTGTAAAGACAGTTTAAATAAATAAACAAAACATGAATGAACAGAAAACAATAGATCAGAATATACTTCAGGTATATAGATCAGAAAAGATATCCTGTAAGCATGCAGCTAGATATATAGATAAGTATGAGCAACCTGAAATAACTGGATTGATACGAACATAGTTTACAAGTAATGAAAAATTCATATAATTTTAATCCTTGGAATCCGAGCATTTAGCGAGCATAGAGAACAACCAATGGCGCCAGCAACAAACACCGAAAATAGCTCAGCTACTTTTTATCATAAACTTGCATAAAGACAAGAGTGCAGGGTAGTTAGTGAATTCTCGACAGTGGAAGAAATTTTTCTCCAAGGCAAAAAACTGCTCAAAGCACAGAAAAAAAAATAAACGCGCAAAGACCAAGGTCAAATCCTCAGAGAGAGAGAGTGAGAGAGTGATAGAGACAGTGAGAGAGTGAGAGAGATAGTGAGAGAGAGAGTGAGAGAGAATGAGAGAGTGAGTGAGTGAGGGCGAGTGAGAGTGAGAGAGTGAGAGTGAGAGAGAGAGATAGTGAGGGAGAGTGAGTGAAAGAGAGAGAGAATGAGAGAGAGAGTGAGTGAGTGAGAGAGTGAGAGAGAGTGAGAGAGTGAGAGGAAGAGGGAGAGTGAAAGAGAGGTGTTCACTTCTCGCTAAAACAATCATCAAATTCTTAGTTTGTTTCTGTATTTCTGTCTGTTTGTAGCTCCATCTCTCACACGCGCACACACACACACACACACACATATATATATATATATATATATATATATATATATATATATATATATATATATATATATATATATATATATATATATATATATATATATATATATATATTTGAAAATATTTTTTTGAAGGTACAAAATCTAATAAAAGTGTGAAGCTTGATATTACTAGACATTTCTAAAAGCGAAGCAACCGGTTTCGCTCCCGCTCATCAGGCCTCCACGGGAGATTTAACTTAAATTAAAACACTAGAAAATGTGCAATGAAAAGGAAAATGGGGGTGCAAAAATGAACACAAGGAGCTAGAGACAAATAACAGCGAGCCCCCAAAAAACATTCACACTGTTTACACAGGGAAGACTTGCGAGACCCGATGTAAAGTGCCTACAGCACCTTCAGGTGAAATAACGAGTGCGACCGGGACAGAATAGTTAACCAATCAGCACTGAAATTAATTAATTGTTATTTAAGAGGTGCTTACATATGGCGGAACCATAGGTATTTGGGACACGTCCATTCAAAGACAAGGTGTGATTCCTCATCTTCGTGGGAATATGTTGTTTAATTCTCATGTCTAGGCATTGAGTAGTTCTCACTATGTAGTCAGCACTGCAACTACAATTGTATTTGTAAACAATAGAATTAATTTGATGTGGAGGGAGAACATCCTTCCACCCAGAACGAAACATAAACTGACTTTGAAAAACAATGCTAACCTTAGCCGAGAATATACAATGACGAACATTAGCTGAAATCTGCCTAATTATACTTTCACACTTGGATCCAATCCAGGGCAATCTAAAATAAACAGGGCACTTTTTAACAGTACAAAGTTTGACCTTTCTAAACTCCTCAATCTTGTTCCGGATGACCGAATCAACAGTATCAGGGGGGGGATACCCTAAACCACATAGGGTTTCCTTAACAAAATTGATTTCATCATCCAAGAAAGACTCTGAACATATCATTAATGCCCTATGAACTAGGGTTCTAATTATATTTATCTTACATTTTCTAGGACAAAAGGAATCCCAACGCGTATATAACCCCGTAAATGTTGGTTTCCTATAAACAGAGGTGAGAAAAATTGTCGGTGTCCGATGTACTATGACATCCAAGAAGACAAGTTGAAAATTAAATTCCTTCTCGAATGTAAAACACAGAGATGGATGGATACCATTCAGGAAAGAGAGAAACTGATCAGCCTCAACTTCATCGTTAAATAAACAAAAAGTATCGTCGACATATCGACAATACAGTTGAGGCATAAGTGCATTACTACGTATTCTCTCCTCCTGAAAGCCAACAAAAATATTGGCAAGTGCCGGACCTAAAGGGGAACCCATAGCGACCCCCGTCAATCTGTCGATCCATGGTTTTATTAAAACTAAATTCGACAGACGACGTGGAAAATTTCATTAAGTCCACAAATACAGACCCAGGAATACTGAGTGGCGACAAAGAACTGCGATAAGGCATATCACAGCAATATATTAATTGTTTCCAACAAACGGACACAGATAAATAAGGAACAGACATCGAAGGAACATATGAACTTGCCCGATGAAGACAAATTTCTGAAACGGTCAACAAAAGAAAAAGAATCCTTTATGCAAAATCCACTCAAGCGCTGCAACACTGGTTCCAAAAGCGAAGAGAGCCATTTGGCTACTTTGTGTTGGCTTGTACCAACCATTGACAAAATTGGTCTCAATGGTACACCATCCTTGTGGAATTTTGGAAGCCCATACAACCGGGGACGAATCGACCCAGACGGTCGAATTTCATTGAAAATATCTTGTCAAAGCACCCCAGTTTTCACCTACTTCAAGAGTATTTTCTGAAATTTTACTTAACCTGAAGCAGTTAAATCACACGTATCAGCAGATCCTAGCTTTATAAATTTCGAAGAGTCTTCCAAAATCAAAGACATCTTAGCCACATAATCTGCCCGATCTAAAATCACAACACCAGCCCCTTTATCAGGTCTGGAGATAATAAGATCACAATTATTCCTCAAGGAATTAACAACTCGCTGATATTCAGTTTTCCATTTCGATTCAGCTGAAGCAACAGAGGAACTAGCAAACATGTGTGCAGAATTATTTAACTGGGCTTTCAAATCACAAATCGCATCTGCAGAAGTAGGCGAAAGTCTTGCCAACTGAACATACAAGACTTCGAACTCAGAAAAACATTTTCTCCTTATCAGGCATAGAAGGTGGAATACAATAATCCAACCCATGAGCAAGGAAAAACGACTCAACCTCAGTAAGTACGTGAGAAGACAAATTTACAATATTATTTAAATTAGGTTCCGTGTACCTCCATAGCTCCCATGTACCAATAATTTCAACTTAGCATCATGATTAGTTGATAATTTAAGACACTCGCGTTGATAGACCCTAACAAAGAACCTATGCGAGCAGCACAATCTCTCGTATCCCTGCTTTAAAACTAGGTTTCTGGTTGAAAGTTGTTTGATAAAATCCTTGATGAAGACGAATTCAATCTTCCAACCTTGATTTAATTTTTGCCCTCTTTACCCAGAACTGAATAAAAGACGGGAAAACCTGGTAGCGGATATATATATATATATATATATATATATATATATATATATATATATATATATATATATATATATATATATATATATATATGTATGCAAAATTATGACATTTGCCTGTGTAAATCACTACAAAAATTGAAATTTTATTTTAATTTTATCACTTGATAAGACATCAGTAGTGTTGATACAAAATTGCAGTTTTTGTAGTGATGTTATGAAATGCATATTTTGAATAAATATTATTTGCTCTACTTGGTATTGGGTATTCTTTTAAGAATAATGGTTTTGGCTATCGGAATTTTTCCATCTGTACCAACTCTGTACATATATATATATATATATATATATATATATATATATATATATATATATATATATATATGTGTGTGTGTGTGTGTGTGTGTGTGTGTGTGTGTGAATTAAATAAAGAGATATGAGCAACCATACATGTGTGCGATTAGATTCATATACAGATATGTACATGTTTATTTAATTTTTGATCTAATGAAAACAGTGTTCAATGTAGTATAACGGGTTATGAAGTATATATTAATAACAATAGATATTACCCACATCAGTTTTACGACTCAGAGTTTCACTGTGTACACACGTACGCACATGAAACTTTTAGTCGTTCATCTGACATAGGTAATATGTATAGTTATTAAAATATATATATATATGTGTGTGTGTGTTTAGGACTTGCTTAATTATTGGTACACAGCAAAAACTCCTGATAGTCTCAAACGGTAACGTAACTAGGCCGCTTCCCGCCACACATCCTGCAAATGATCTCTGCTTTCTACACCCACTCAAATACGAGAGGGCCCGTTGTTGATCCATCAAATTCAAAGATCCGTTTCAAATTTGCCGTCAGTTTTCGCTGGTGCTGAAATAGCTTGTATCGAAACTGAATTATAACAGCAGGCTCCTCAACACACTGACAGCCGCCAATAACTACCAAACGCTATCCTCTAAGAAACTTCAATCGTATTTTGTACAAGATTTCTACTGTGCGAGCACACAAGCAAACCCAGTGACTGTTCTTTTCGTTATCGTCTGCCAAATCTAAATAAACTTTCGTTTCATCAGGTGGCCGCCGGGCGCCAGCGGCCGCTGCTGACTGCTTCTCGGCTATTTACGCCGGGCGTCACGAGTGCATTTGTGTGTGCATAGATATCCAGATTTGAGTGGACTCATGGATTTCACAATGTTCTTACCTTTTGTGTGTTTAACAAATGCCATAAAGTCGTTAAATCGAAACTCAGATAAATATTAACAAATTTAACAATATCTTGAAAATAATTCTGTTTCATATTTTGGTTAGAGAATTGATTCATAATTCGAAGCCATTTTGAATGCCAAAATAGTCAAAACAGGCGTTCAGTAACTTCATCTTTTGATTTGCAATTTTCTTCCTGCAATTTTCTTCCTGCAATTTCTCCTTTCTATTCATTCATATTTAATTTATCAATTTTCAATTGCAACTACAAGTAAGAAAAAACAGAAATATACATCTGACTTATCGTTTACTTGCTTCATGAAAATAAATATCAAAATTTCTACAAAAATTACTCAATGTCCACTAATAACTTTTCAATGAAATACATGACATCGGGAATTCAGTCACTTTCGAAACAGTCGAACGTGGCTTCCCTCTGTCTTTTCTCTAAATATTTTCATGACTATTGTTTTGATGAGTTTCCTCCTTGGTACTGTGATCACGTGACATTTAACTGTACAAATAAATCGGCTGCTAGATTGGTGACTATTGAACTATCTGGTTGTAACCGTAAGTTCTCAGTTAACAGTTTCTTCTCTAGCACTTTTCAAAGGACAAAAATTAATATTGAACTAGAAAACAATACAAGCAAGTCAAACCAACAGTAATATAGAGCCGAATCCGTTACATTCACTTATAGAAGACCGTGTATGTTTGCGTGTTGTAATATTAGAAATATGTGTGTAAATCCTGGTAGCATATTAAAAGGTCCAACTACAAAAAAATGGCCGGATTTAAATTAAGTCTAACTGAAGATAAAGAAGACAAACGAAACCGATATATATATATATATATATATATATATATATATATATATATATATATATATATATATATATATAAACAAATATATGTATTAAACAAAACAATTTTACAATGGGCATAGACAATGACATTTCTGTGTGTGTGTGAACATTTGTGTTTGGTCTTTAGTGAATGTTAGTACGTACGTCTATGTGTGAATAGTGTCCATGGCGTCTTCCCACAAGTGGGGAGACGTTATCTTTTTGCGAGAGCTTACATTGTATGTGTGTTCGCTGAAATGAAGTAATCAAAAAGAGAACGAGGCGAGAAGTCACC